GTTGTTGAAATAAATCCACTTTTCACTCGTCACAATTTTCCACAAGAAACTTTTCCGTTACTGTTTTGAAATCAATGTAATGCACATATCCATCCACTGTTCACAATGCGCTTTGGTTAATTCATGTGGCACCCACTTTCGACGAGGAATTTTTCTCTTGCTCGAAAAATGGAGAAAAGCTGTAGAAAGCGGGGGAAAATATTTTCAATAACAAATATTGTATTAATTTTGTAAATAAAACAAATAAATTTGGTTAAAAAACGGCAAAAACTTTTGCAAACCCCTAATATTCAGAATAAATATAATTTTTCTGGTTTGACTTTGGTTTTTGATACCTTTTCCTTTGAAATCAAAATTTCCGCTGAAAGGAAGATTTTTCAAAAGTGTTAGAGATTTATCAAGAGCAAGTTTCCCGACTGAAATAAAGTATTTTATAAATAATTCCAATCTTTGGTTAAATGCTATTCGCCGTATTAATATTGTAGAGAATGTTTCCCAGTTATAAGATCGATTTATGCTTTGATTATAAGGTCGCGAATTATTCATCCATTTCTCGAGCAAACGAGTTTCAAGTCTTATCTGACATCGAAAGAGATATTACATGAAATCAATCACTTCCCGGGATTCTTCCAACTCTTAATCACTTTATATGATATGTTAAAATCTTATAATTAAAAACATCTAACAATAAGAATAATTTGCATCGAGACTGGTTTGCAAAACTCGCATTATTTTTGGGAAATGCAAAGTTAAATACTGATTTTGGTAAAATCGTATAATTTTTAAACAATTGTAATTAAAAAACAAAAAAAATAATAGAAATCTTATACTTGTCTAGAAATTCTCGTAAAGACCCAGAATTTTATAAAGAAAATAAGAATAATTTATATACATACATGTTACTTTATGAATAATCCATATAAATATTATAAACACATTTGTATCTTTTTATGTAAGAAAAATCTTAGATTTTTCCAAAACCGATTTTAGGATGGTATTTTCCTAATGAACACTGTTTGTTGCAATAATATAACGTGGCAGTGACAAATAATATAACACAAGTTATTTATATGATATATAACTGAAATATATCATATGTGTTACTATGTAATGTTACAATGGTTACTGTATTAAATATTACTGCAATTTAACATTATTATTGTTTTATCTTAGTGTTATATAAACTTTTTCTATATATAATACATAACAAATTCGAAGAAACAAATAATATAACGCAAGTTACCTATATGATATAAAATTGTAACATATATCATACGAATTATGTTGCAACATTACAACAGTAATATAACAGAATATCATTGCAATATAATATTGCTATATGTGTTCCTTCGCTTGCCGCTATGCGGCGAAGGACACTTTAGAAATACTAGAAAAAAAACTGAAATTATTGATCGTTTAGTTTTAGAAATATAATAATAAAAAGATTTTACGGTGTTATTTCATCCTTGTTGTTCACCAAAAGTTAAAAAAAGACAGATGATGCTCGCAAATGTTGCGAGCGTTAACTTGGCAATAGCGTACAGAATGTTCAAAAGTTTTCAACGGTAACTGTAGGTAGTCTACGATCGTACATACAAGTCTTGAAAGTCCACACATAGAAAAATATTATTCTATTGCTAAGAAAAATGATTACTCAGTTTACTTTACCCTATATACGTGTTCCTTCGCTTGCCACTAAGTGGCGAAACCAGACTTAACTAACTCGTATTCAAGTTTCTGCCATGAAGTACATATAAAACCCGCAAAAGACGGATACTAGCATAAGATACAAAATATACCTTTTCTTTGACAGTTTAATTTCTAATACAATTCCAACAAGGGATTCAGAATATTAAACAGATTACTTGAAATTGGGCGGGTAAATAGAAAATAATCTATTTACTGCTTATTTGAAGCAAAAAATTGGAATTTTTATAAAAAGTTTTATAAAAATTAAATTGCAAGTTTTATAAAATAAATATGTATAAATTATTTTTTTTATTTATTTAATTACCAGATCTATGGTGGATTCTATATGAATCAATTCTATACGGAGTATTACTAGGATATAACAACGGTATGACATATGTTATATTACATGTTATATTTATGAGTGAGATGTTACAATTAACCAGTAACTTATCGGTAATTTTTATGTATATTATTTGTAACATTCCGTTTTACTGCTCTTATATAACATTAATATAACAGTGTTTATTGGGTTGAAATCTCTTCCTTCAATATGAAAAATAAAATTGAATCACAATTGAAATACATTCTTGAAAAAAAATTCTTCAAACTTTTGTAAAACGACATCACTCTTTAAGCAAGATTTCATTTTCAATAAAATAAAATAATTTTTAATAAAAATTTTTTTTATTCTCTTATTGTTAGCAACGCGGATAAATATTCCATTGTTGTTTTCACTGCCTAAATAGAGTAAAAATTAAAGATGAAATATTGAATTTTATTTTCACGAATGATAGTAATGATGGATGGTATATAATATATGCAAAAAGAAAAATTTATAAACAATACATAATATATAATATAAAACATAAATAAAACAAAATGTTTTTACAAACTAAAGAAATAGATATTTCTGTACAATGATTGCATATAAAGCAATATATTTTTTTAAAGATATATATCTTACTATTCCAAATAATTCTAACGAAAAATTTCCAAATTTTCCAGCTGTCAATTTAAGCGGAATCGCAGATCGATATACAATCAACATCAAGTCTTTCGCATTTTTCGCCGATATATTGTATCATTTGCATTCATACACACTGTACGCTATATTGGTACACACAGAAAAATATTATTCTATTGCTAAGTAAAATAATTATTCAGTTTACTTTACCTGTTTTAAGTAACAGTTATCTTTAACAAAGAATATTTTCTTAATAATAGTCTTAAAATAGACTTGTCACAAATTTTAGAAATACTCATTATCATGTATTCAAAAAAAGTAAATATTTTCTTTTAAAGAATATTATAAAATTTTATCGAGAAAAGTCAGATATGGTTAATTTAATGTAAGAAAATTTATTAGATCAGAAAAATTTAGTGTATTTCTTTCAATCATATAAGTTAATATTCTTAATTGAAGTATTAAATTTACTAGGATTCAGAATACATTTTGAATAAATTTGATGCTTATGATGAACTTTCAATTCTATACGGAGTATTACTAGGATATAACAACGGTATGACATATGTTATATTACATGTTATATTTATGAGTGAGATGTTACAATTAACCAGTAACTTATCGGTAATTTTTATGTATATTATTTGTAACATTCCGTTTTACTGCTCTTATATAACATTAATATAACAGTGTTTATTGGGTTGAAATCTCTTCCTTCAATATGAAAAATAAAATTGAATCACAATTGAAATACATTCTTGAAAAAAAATTCTTCAAACTTTTGTAAAACGACATCACTCTTTAAGCAAGATTTCATTTTCAATAAAATAAAATAATTTTTAATAAACAGATATGGTTAATTTAATGTAAGAAAATTTATTAGATCAGAAAAATTTAGTGTATTTCTTTCAATCATATAAGTTAATATTCTTAATTGAAGTATTAAATTTACTAGGATTCAGAATACATTTTGAATAAATTTGATGCTTATGATGAACTTACGATAGATTTGCGGATATATGAACTTTTGAAATACTTGAAACAAGTAATATTTACTTGTATATAGTATGTATTTTTCTGTGTGCAGTGATGGGGGAAGGTCGCTTAAGGCTATTGCACGTGAAAAAATTTTAGTCGTAACCGTAAGGCCGTAAGCAAATTAACACAGTCAAGACAGTCGTGTGCATACGGGTGATGTTTCCGAACGCAATCTAAGCGACCATACCCCCACCACTTAAATTGCGACCAGTTTCAAACAGTGATACAAGTTTTGCAAGAAAATTCTTTGTGTACGCTATCCCCTCCATACGCGCTAGCAGCGGGCACAGAACACAAAACTTGCATCAGTGGTTTTAAGACCTGTACGTACGACCGTGATGTAGTTGGATGTTTTACCGTTGACTCAGAGTATAAAATTTTAGATTGTACTGTTGCGAGACAACTAATATAAATACCTTGAATAAATTTTTTTTCTTTTTTTAAAGATATTGGATTTTTTGTGTGTATTCAAGTATAACACATAGCAAGAAATGTAAATAGAAAAAGATTAAACATTTTTTTCATAAAATACGGTTGTTTTATTTAAAAAGCAATAAATTTTTTTAAGTTTTTTATATTTTTAATTTTGTTGAATGAATCTTTATCTCTTTTGTAATAGAAAGAACGGCTAGAGAAGACCATCGAAAGAATTTATCGCATGATTTAGACCTTTCGTACCTTCCGTACCCTTCCCCCTCTCTCGATGATATGAAGAGACATATCTTCGAAATCTCGCCCATGCGGTAAAATCATACTTGTGGTAGAGCGTAAAGAGACAGCTTCTGACTTATTTGTCAATTGCGTCAATTACTGATCTGATCGTTTTGAACACTAAAACTCGAGCGAAATAGGTGTGAAAATCGAGGGCTGGGCGGCCGAAAACCGAAATCGCTCAGTCTGATGACAGAAAGGAACGATATGCTAAGTCAAAAAAGAATAAATTAAGAAAGTCACGCGAATTATAGTACGCGATTGTTACGCGATTCTCGCGATATCTTGTAAAATCGCTTCTTCAAGTGCGAGAACATTTATTAGAAATAATTACTGTGGACTATATGTTTTACTCCGTGTAAATAAACTCTATGCGATAATTAATAAATGTGTTAGTCGATCAAAGGAGTGTCTCATTTCATTCGTATGTCTCGTGATCTTCCGAAGGCTGTACCTAGTCGTTCCAGCGAATAACTTTTAAGTGATTTCATATCAAGTGATACATATCTTTAACGTGGCTGCAATATCGAAGGCACGTCTATACCATGTAAAACTTCGTCAATTTATTGTCTAATGTTAATATATTTTTTCATAGATACTGCGTAAAATTTGGAACACATATCAAAATGGGAACGACGAACGCACAAACCAATTCGGGGCACACACACGACGAGACTTACTCGAGAGGAAGTTCGATCGACACATTTTTCGCCGAAACGGTGATCCTTGTAACTGGTGCTACTGGTTTCTTAGGGAAAGCCCTCCTGGAAAAGTTACTGCGCTCGTGTCCTCGTGTGGCCACAATTTTCGTTCTAATCCGTCCAAAAAGAAACCAGTCTATCGAAGAACGCTTCAGGGAACTACTGGAAAATCCTGTTTGTATAAATATACGCTTATCATATCGCAAAGTTATTCGGAAAGAAAATATCTCTATTTTAAGTAAGAAAACTTAATTCTGGTAATTTTTTATGCAGTTTACGTAAAACACCATATAGAAGAAATGTCCAAATTTTGTTGAACAAAAAGTTGGTTTTTTTTTTGTAAAACTGTATAATAGGTAACACATCACCGATTTTATCGCCATTTAAATATGTTGTAGGAGAGGTTCTTCTGAGTAATTCCCCGCAAGAAAGAAGTGGGGGACGGCATTGGTTTAGAAGATATAACAAATTATAGTTTCACAATTTTAATTTCTCTCAAATATTATAAAATAATATTAGAAAAAGTGAAGTTTATGTACGTTGTATTTGTTGTAGAGTAGACGTGGAAAAAGTTTTTGTTTACATTTACGAGATAAGTACACGGCACATATGTCTATACTAAACTGGATTGCTAACTGGGACTTGTGTCGCATGAGGTTTCTGGTTGTATGAGAGAAAATGGCGAACATTTTTGCTTAAAATGACCGATACGATCACCTCCCAGAATATTGACCTTTCCTCCTGAAACACCCTGTATTTACCAAATGCAGTGCTTATATGGATAATATTATTCAAAAAGTTTCTGATAAAAAAAATAAATTAGTAACATATACAATACTAGTCGATTTAAAAAAATAATAGAGGATTAGTATATGCGTCACATGATGTTCATAACAAGGAAACTATGGCGGCGGCCATTTTCTCTTATACACCGGTAATCCTATTGGACGCAAGCCATGCTATTCTGATGATGACATGTTAGCAATCTAGTTTAGTATAGACATCTGTGGTACACGGTCATGGATATTTTGTCAATAATCGGTTTCACCTATTTCTCACAGTTCGTTAACAGCTATTAACATGCAACTATACGAATTTCTGAGTCTTTCTTGACAAATATTATTTATTGAATGCGTGGGTGAGGGAGGAGCGGAACCACTCCTCCTGCACTCCCACCTCGAAAAAATTCTAACCTAACCCAATCCAACTTTACTTTTAAAACTGAAAATAGATTTGGGTTAGGTTAAAATTTCTTTGGGGTGGGCGTACAGGAGGAGGGGCTTCGTCCCTCCTCCGCCCACGCGTAAATGTCGTAAACAGCCTTTTTCAATCAAAAATGACAGATTATTACAGCATACAAACTTTAATGTCAAACTTCAATTTATTATATCTTCTGAACCAATGCTGTTCTTTACTTCTTTCTTGCGGGGAATCACTCAGAAGAACCTCCCCTATCACATATTTAAGTAGCAATAAAATCGGTGATGTGTTACTTTTCATGCAGTTTTACCTTTTTTTTAATAATAACAGCAATAGGCTCAGGGTAAAAACAATTAAGTGGGAAAATTAGCAGATAAAAGTCAAGACGCGAATATCGATGCGCAAACTTATTATTGTTAAATTTTATTAACTAATGTGCATTAAAAATATACAGTTTCAATATTAAATATATAGTTCCGGACCGGAACTTTTTGGTATATCTTCAGAATGGATAACAATATATAAAGATTAAATTGGAATTGTAAAACTTGACATACACAGCATTTGCAGTTGTAGTCAAATTTCAAATTAAAAATAGAACGCCACAAAATTCAAAGCACGTATTACTTAAGAATGTACCCTCTACAATATATGTAAAAATAAAAACGATCCGTGAGGTGTAAGTTAATCCGAACATTTACCAAAATAATAATCAGAATGAAGACTCACTAAAACCCGCATTGAATCTGTACAAATAAGTGGACCAAACGTCATCGCCACACGTATATCGTCGGTAGTTTATAATATAATGATGAGTAGTGTTGACACGATCGGTATGGTTACAAAAACAAAGGTCATAAAGATGGTCATAAACAAAGGTTAAAAAACAAAAACAATGAAAGAAAAGCTAATGAGAATGAAAGAATGGCTAACAATAAGTTTAATTAATCTTTGAATCCAATCCAAACTTTGAAGTCAAATTCAAATCTTTTTGTCAATATTTGTTTCTTTTTGTCGTGATGGACAATCATAATAATCAGTATTCGAGATGATTTATCAACACGATCCTGTGAAAACTTTTAAAAAATGTCGATTTTATTCTACAATAGGAATTAGAGTGACTATAGATCGTCAATAACGTTTTTCCAAATTAATTTTATCATTAAAAATATGTTGATTTTACACAAAATTTATTTCAAATTACTATGAAGTTTGCATTCATTTTGTGTTAAAATATTAACATAGTATTTCTAATATACATATAATATATTGTTGCGTCCCTGCGGGTCGTCTAAGGCGGTTATTAATGAATCTGCTGTATTCGTCTCCGGGAGAACGTTGCTAAGCGTTGTTGTTAAACAACGGCGGACATCTTGGGAGAGATGGGCCATCTTGAGTAGCGCGACGGATGCGATTCCGGGCGGATGTATCGGAGTTTACGATTACTATTATTGTTCTGTGTTCTTTGTGTAATAGTGTTCTGTGTTGCTATATTAAAGTTCCTTTTATTCTTTCTAAAGAGTGTCAATCATTTACTCGCGTTACGCGCGTTCTTTTCCGAAAAAGCAGAGCTCTCATTGGATATCGCCCATCGCTCATCGCGTCCAGTGTGCAAGGGCCGTAATAGTCATTTTCATAGTTTTAATGCTTTTTCTACTATAAAATAAAGAAAAATAAAGTTTGTTTACATTATATCTGCGTAGAGCAGACATGGAAAAAGTGATCGTTTATATTTACGGGACAGGTATACACTCATTAATACTTTGTCAATAATGTTTCACCTATTTCTCGCAGTTCGTTAACAGTTTTCAACATGCGAAAAATATTAGTCATTGAATGTATGGGCGGGGGAATGGGCTCTGCCTCTCCCCGAAAAAAATCTAACTTAACCCAACCCAACTTTACTTTTAAAACTGAAAATAGGTTTGGTTGTATCTTCCGCAAGTGGAACCCCCCGTAGGAGAGGCGAAACCCATTGTGTCCACACATATATTTTATCACGCGAAGCGAGGTTCACTTCTCAATTGTTATGTGGATGGGAAAATGTATGCGTGGACGCAGTGGCAGTGATGCCAGAATGGCCACGCTAGCAACACGCAACCGTAGTGGAGGGGATGACGCTCCGGATTTTCCATCACAGATAATCCGGATGTAAAAGCATATTAGTTATTTTTGAAGCATATTTAAAATTTTTTAAATTCTTTTAATGCATTTTTTCAAGCTGTGGAAACAAGAATTCACTTCTTGCAGTTAAAGTCATTGGAACTTTTAATAAGAATTTCCAAACATTTTTTGAAACCAGAGCTTGTAAAAAATGTATGTAATGATTTTAAATTTTCTGAAAAAGAAAACCAAAAATCTTTAAATGATATAAATTTAAGATCTGAATGTGAAGAATATCTCGAAAGTTTAATGAAAAAGGACGCGCAGACATAATTGGAAATGTTCGATATAATTGTCTACAATTTTACGTGACTGCTGCCGAGGAAATTAATAAAAGATTGCCCATTAAAGATAAATTTTTATGTAAATTAATAGTTTTCCAATTCAACACAGCATTATGTAGTATTGACAGAGAAACATCATTTAATGATGTTTCTTTTATTGCTCAAACCCAGTGGGTTTTACTCCACTCCCCCTATGGGTGGGTCCACTTCCGGAAGATATAACCTAATCGTTGACAACTTAGAAGGTCATAAACAACTTTTTTCAATGAAAAAATAACAAATTATACAGTATATACATATTTTAATATCAAACTTCAATTTGTTATATCTTTTAAACTAATGCCGTCCCCCACGAATTTCATGCGGGGAATTACTCGGAAAAACCTTCCTTACAACATATTTAAGTGGCGATAAAATCGGAGGCGTATTACCTTTTATGCAGTTTTACCAAAAGTTGTTAACAAAATAAGTTTAACAAAACGAACGTAATTTTCTGATATTAATATTAAAAAGTATACACACACACAATATATATGGCATGTGTGTGTATTATAAAGTGAAAAGGCGGGCGGGGAAGGGACTTAACCCACCCTTTCCCCCCTCCCTCTCTCCTTTTATGATAAAGTAAAACTATAAAATACTTTTTTTTTTAATTTGACGCGTAAGCAAAAGAGATTATTTACTACGTTTTAATACGTATTTGTAATAGATTTACTTACGAAGAATATAAACACAAATACAGCGTATTGAAAGCAATATTATGATTACTATGTATTGAATACATATTTCATCAAATATATTCCTTTTTGAATGTACACGGTGTCAGATAATTACGTTCCATTCGTTAAACTTATTTTGTTAATAACTTTTTAATAAACAATGAGCAACAGCGAAAATCTTTTGAAAATTACTCAGAGCCGTGTCCTTGATAACATATGTCAATTGAAATCGGTGAGATCGCTCCTAATATGCATAATTGCCAAATTTCTTATTAATAATACGGAACATATCTACTGTATAAAACTAAAAATATGTGCACATTCTGTTATTTTTATACCTTTTCTTCAGTTGTTTTAATAATTTAACGATTGCCATGCGCATGATCTTCTTTGTTATTATAAGAAATCGTCGAAATGGCACATATCTGTAGATGAGTAGCATTTCGGTAAGGCGTTTTCGCTATGATTAACGTATCTCGTTGCTGAATTATTGTGGCACATAATAAAACATATATAAAACCGCCAAAAAAAACGTGTCGAGGCCGTTATCATCTTCATTGATTATTATGATTGTTCATCACGACGAAAAAAAACAAATATTGACAAGAGTTAAAAAGATGCTTTAAAAAAATCACATGCATACTTTGTAAACTATACATAGGGAAATCCAAAAAATGGTAAATGTTCGGATCAACTTACATCTCACGGATCATTTTCACTTTTACATATATTGTAGAGGGTACATTCCTAAGTAATACACATCATTGCAAAGTGAATGCGAGGACGAAGGAAGGGCGAAGCTCCTCTTCCTGCACTCCCACCTCCAAAAAAACTAACCGAACTCAAACCAATTCCTATTTTTTTAATAAAAATTAGGTTTGGGTTTGGTTAGTTCTTTTTGTGGGGGTGCACGAGGAGAGGCGAAGCCCCTTCCCCGCCTACGCATTTACATAAATGCTTAAATATACAACTAATATAAAATTCATGTTTGGAGAAGTTCAGATTATTGCATTTAATATTTGATCTTATCGTACAATTTAATTGTTAATAACTTTTTAATAAACAACGACCGACGGCTAAAACCTCTTGAATGTTATTCAGGGTCATGAGCTTAACAACATATGTCAAAGTCAAGGTCATCCGTGAGATTGCCCATTTTATGTATAATTACCAAATTAAGTTCTTTTGAAATAGAGTACTGATTCAAATATATTTGCTACTTGATTGAAATAACCAATCTCTCTTTGTAAGTATTTAAATAAATAATTTTTATAAATCAAAGAAATTTTTGGGGGATTTAATACATTTTTTTCAGTGTACATTATTGAATGCACAAAAATCTCGACGCGCGCGCGTGCATAGAAGTTTATCTCTTCTCTAGTTTTTTCATAAATTAGTTTTACTACATTCGTATTTTTCAGATTAACATTTCTTATAGACGTAATAGTATCCGCGCATATTAAATTATAATGCAATATTGATTCTGACTGTACTTAACTTCCTCTATAGAAGGGACGGTTTAAATATTTCACCTGTGCCTGTGGCGTGATTGTACTTGAAGTGTCAAACACAGTCATCAAAACGTACAACGAAAAGTCGCGATTGTTACCGTTCTCACGATTATTTCCCGTAATTATTATCTGTGAAGTTATGTCTGTTAATACATACGTCGAACAAAATATCACGCTACGAATACTTTTCTCTATGCACATTTTTTTACGAAAAACTGTTCTTTCCTCTGTCGCAGGTTTTTGATAGGATACGATCGGAATTTCCCGGCGCCTTAAATAAGATCTTTCCTGTGAAGGGCGATGTGGGCATGCCGGAGCTGGGACTACAGCCCGAAGACAAGGATATGTTAATACAACGAGTTAACATTGTTTTTCATAGCGCGGCCACTGTACGTTTTAATGAGCCATTGAAAGTAGCCGTTAATCTAAACACAAGGGGCACAGATCGTATGATAGACTTGTGCAGGCGTATGACAAACCTTATTAGCGTCATTCACGTTAGCACGGCCTACAGTAACGCCGATCGACGAGAAATTGAGGAATCGATATATACGTAAGCTTTCAATTATACATAAAAAAATACAAACATTTCACAAGTAAAAGTCTTCAAAGATCTTCAATTTAATTATATCTTGTCGCGAAGATATTCTGCATTTCTCACGGAATTGCATTAGATTATTTATTTGTTTTTAAATATTTTGTATATTTTTATATATTGTTTGTGCATAATTTTTTTTATACGCGATACAAACCAGATTCTACAAAATTAAGTTTATTTTTCGACACAATAATAAAAATAATTTTCGGCACAATAATAAATATGTATTTAACAAGCACACTTTAGAAACTCTTATAATGATACATCTTGCTAATGTTACAGCACAGAGATAAAACCGTACACAGTAATCGATATATGCGAAAATTTAGACGATGAGACGATAGGAATAATAGAGAAAAGGCTGATCGGTAATCATCCAAATACCTACACATTGACCAAAGGTCTAGCAGAACAAATTGTGTTGTCCAAGGGAAGCGGTCTACCGATCGCGATCGTAAGACCGAGTATAGTCTGCGCTGCGTATCAAGAACCATTTCCAGGCTGGGTAGATAATGTTTGCGGTATTACAGGTATAATCTACATTAAAGTAAATTTCATTAAAATTTTGATGGCCAAGTTGCTTGGGAAAAAAAATCGATATACAGGGTGGTCCTCGTAACGGTCGCCACGATTTTTAAGGCATTGTTATTGACCTTTTTATGTCAGATTATTGTAAGTGCCTTAAAAATCGTGGCGACCGTTACGAGGACCACCCTGTATAATCGAATATAAATATACATAATCATATATAAAATATGTGTCCGTACATGTGTGTATGCTCTCCCTCCCTCTCTCCCTCCTCCTCCCTCTTTCTCCTCTCCCCCCTTTTGTATAATCTCTATCCGTATATACAAGAAAAAAATAAGAATAATTGAAAATTAAAAAATTAACTAACAAAATAATTTTAATATAAATTTATATGTGTAATTGTATATGAGCATTTTTTCTTATTTCTTTAAATTCCACTTCTTCTAAAAAAAAAATAATGCGCAAAAATTATTTTCCTAATTATTTTTTATTTGTCCTTCTTATTATTTTTTCTGTACATATAGACAAAGATTAAAAGAAAGGAAACATATATTAGATATATTTTATTATATTTATATTTGATTAAATAAATTTTTTTGGTGAATATACATAATAGATCACACCTCACCGATTTTATTGCCACTTGGATATGTTATAGGGGAGATTGTTCTGAGTAATTCTCCGCAAAATCAAGTGGTAAACGGCATTAGTTTAGGAGATATAACACAAATCATAGTTTGATAATATCTTAATAGATACATTTTTCCTTAAATTTTATGTAAAATGTTATTAGGAAGAGTGAAGTTTGTGTACGCCGTACTAATCTGTTTGTCATCTTCTAACTAGAAAAAGTTTTGTTTACATCATTTAAAGGAGAGAGGCTCCGTCCCTCCCCTGCCCATGCATTTACTTAAATACTTAAATGTACAACTAATATAAAATTCATGTTCGGAGAAGTTCAGATTATTGCATTTAATACTTATTCTTATTGTACAATTTAATTGTTAACAACTTTTTAATAAACAATGAGCGACGGCTAAAACTTCTTGGATGTTACTCAGGATCATGATCTTGACAACATATGTCATGGTCAAGATCATTGGGGTGAGTCCCTTATAATATACATATATTTACCGTTTTATGAACAAAGACTATTACAATACGGACGGTACAAAAATTAAATGGAGGGCAGCATTGGTTTAGAAATATATGTATAACAAAAAAGAAAGATTGGGTTAGGTTAAAGTTTTTTAGGATGAGAGTGCAAAAAGGAAGGGACTTCGCCTCTCTCCCGCCAACGCTTAAAAGTCATAGACAGACTTTTACAGTGAAGAAACAACAAATTCTTACAGCGTAAGCTTTACTGTACGGCAAAACTTTACTGTCAAACTTCATTTTGTTATATCTCCTAAACCAAGGCCATACCCCACTTGATTTTTGGAAGTTACTCAGAAAGAATATTCTCTATAATGTATCTAAATGGCGATAAAATCGGTGAAGTGTGACCTATTATTTAGTATTTTTTTCCAAGATCAAATTGCTTTATACAATAGAAAGTTATTAGAGATATGAAAAAAAGACACACCAATATATATAATTAATCTAACCTAACTTTCTTTCCACTAATGTCCGTGACATTAACTCGACGGAAGAATTTTATTAAATATAACGAGTTATATTATATAATTAAAAATAAAAGTATATTAAAAGTTTAAATTGCATAAAAACAAGCGTTTTTAATGAATTAATTTTCTTCTATATTAATATCAATTATATAGATGCATACACACATTATATCCCATTATTTGATAGGTATAATGACAGAAATAGGTAGAGGTACTATTAGAAGCATCGTATGTAACGCGAATTTAATAGTAGATGTTGTACCTGTCGACTTTGTTGTCGATACCTTAATATGCGCTTCTTGGTATAACGCTATGCAACGTACCGATACGATAAGGATTTACAATTGCACCAGCAGCGCACTGCATCCGATCACGTGAGTATTTGTGAGAAACTGGAACAAACATAGTGAAACAATAAAAAAAAAATGATTTTTTGCAGATGGCGCGAATTTGGACATCTTACGAGAAAGCACGCCATAGAGTCCCCGTCGAAATATGTGATGTGGTATCCAGATTTTACGTTTAGGACAAACAAATTTATTCACGCTATCATGGTAGCTATGCTGCACTTTTTACCTGCGTTTATCGTAGATCTTATATTAAAGGTCCGAGGTTACAAACCTATGTAAGTGCCCCCCCTCCTCTCTCTCTCTCCAGAAAAAAACAGAAATTTTATTTATGATAATGTTTCGACGCATCATCTTTTTTCAGAATGATGAAAATTACCAAACGCTTCGAGCGCGCTGCTAAAACCGGAGAGTTCTTCGCGATAAACGAGTGGAAATTCTGTGCTGATAACATGACGAAACTAGTGAAATTCGTAAAAGCGTCGGGGCATTGTAACGACTTCAATGTAGATATCAAAAGCTTGGATTGGGACACATATTTACATCAATACATGTTAGGAATTAGAAAATATATTTTAAAAGACAATCCAGATACTTTAAATAATGCCCGTAGTCGTTTATGGAGGTAAGTCTCCCAATTTCATATATTCTTAATCACATTTTCATGTTTCCAAGATATATGCTGAACAAGAGAAATAAGTCGATCATTAATGTATTACAGATTGTACTGGATGCATAAATTAACCAAAATATTCAGTATATTCGTGTTATTAGGAATGATCAAATGCGCCAGTCGGTGATACCATCAAGAAACTATACTATACTATAGAAAACTAATACTATAGAAAACTTTTGAATCGTAATTCGTGCGATTTTAGAAACGCTGCAAAAACATTACGGAAAGAAATATTTTAGGAAAGGGATATATAACTTCGAAATACTAAACTGTTGTTAAGTACTAATATACTAATTAAATCAGATATTAATGAGAAAGAGAGAGGGGGGAGAGAGTAATTTATAAAATATAATTTTGAAAAATGTGAATGCAAGATTACTGTAAATACTAAAACTTTTGTTTAAAACACTTTCTCACATATCTGTTACATTTTCCACGGTAATTACTAAGTTAGCTTCGTAGAGCTATATGATCTAATCGACCTAATCTACGATTGGCACATACAAACAAAATGTGTTTCTTATTTTGAACTATTCTATCAAGATATACAGGGTGTCCCAAAGCACCCTTGACAACGCTCGTGAGCAAGTAGAGCACAGTAAACTGAACAGAAAAGTCCTGTAACATTTTTTTTATAACGCTTAATAAAGGAGTTATTATTGAATAACGTCTGGCCAATTAGCGTCGACCTTTAGCCGCGCGCCTGGTAGTGTGCGTGAGCGTCGTTCCGTCGCTACGACGACGCACACTAACAGACGAGCGGCTCACTGACGTGCGTCCGGCTAAAAGTCGACACTGATTGACCAAACTTTACTCAATAATAACTCCTTTAACATGGTACAATATGAATAACCGAAATTTTTTAATATACGATATTATACTCGCAAAGACTGACTTTAATTATATATTTTAAAAATAATAAAAAACACACACATACACACATACATATAGGGGACCTATACTGTATTGCCTTATTAATAATTATCAATATCAAAATGAAATTATTTTTGCTAATTCAAATACTCATAATCATATGATTAAACAATTATCATTAAACCAATAAATTTTATCGCACACCACGCTTACAGGAACAAATACATTTATTAAAAAGAATTTTTAAAACAAAATGTCTCTTAGACATTCGTGTTGTCTGGTTAATTAATCCCTTTTGTGAAACTAAACTAATTAAAGGGACTATAGGCGGCTGTGACATAAACGATCACGCGCAAGAGCTTGTTACAGTTTTCACGCGCGTGTATTAATTATATTATTAACAAAATTGATCCGTACACGAGGATAAAATCTCTTTAAAAATTCGCAAAATTGTATGTATATCTGTAATATGGTGAATAAAATAGTAAACATGTATTTATGTATATATAACACACACACACACATTGTGTGAATAAAAATAATATGATTGTATTACATTGTTAGACAAATCATTATTGAATGAAATTCAACAAAGACTTTATCCGCTTAATTATTTATAAAATATGACATCTTAGAAGTAATGTTACGATGGTTTGATTTTTACTATTCTTAAGATAAATACAAGCACTTAATGCATATCAAGCATGTTCCTGAGCGTAAGTCTTTAAACACCTAAGTAAACTGCTTTCTTCGCGCGTAACAAATTTATTGCCTAAATATACTTCGACAAACTAATGAGATACATTATTATTGAGCGATATCATGACTATGTTTTTACATAAATGTGTATATTGTACACTTTTGTCATGATCAAACTTGTACAAGTAATGACATAATGTTGTAATGACATAATGTTGTACAAGTAATGACATAATGTTGTAATGACATAAACAATGTTTGTAATTAATATCTGACTTCTTCGAATATAAATATTCATATATATATATCACCAAAAATTTAAAATATGTTGTCAATAAAGAACTTGGCTCAAGACACGTAAGGGATTCATCATTTGCTCCAGTTCCCCCTGAAAAAAAAACTAGAAAAATGCGAGTCCATTCTATCAACTTCAAGAGCTTAAAAATTCTGACAACTTTTGTTTGACTCTATCGAATTAGACAATATAGCCACTAGCTTTTAATCTACGCTTTGAATCTCCCAGTAGCTCTATGCCAATGTCCTCTATTTTCCTCTTTAAAAACTAAGAATAAAATTACTTTTCAAAGATCGGATATCATCTGCCAAATTAAATTGTATCCAAAAAAAGCATCCTTGCCAAAATCTTAGAATTTCGCAATTTCGGACAATTTTCCCTCTATCAACTCATAAAATTTCTACAAGTCAATCTTTTTTGCATTGACTGCAAAATCTAGTCCTTTAAATTCTTGTATAGAAATAGAGATCCCAATGAAACTATCGACCCGTATTCGTGGCTCTATTTTAAACATAACAAGCTTTTTTCCAAAGTTCTTGCAATCGCGAGTTCTAACAGAAAGTACCTTTTACTTTTAACAGCCATCATCAAACAGTTCTTTTTAAATACCTTTCGTATACATTTAAAGCCTTCTATAGATATTCCGCGCAAAAACTCCTCTCCAATTCCATATTCTTTAGGGAAGCTCTCAAGATTAATTGCAATGTTCTGCTGATGCAAGTATCACTCTTTCTCGAGTTCTTTCTTTTATTTCAATCTTATCCGTCAAATCTAAAAGTGGTCAATAAAAAAGATTTATGATACTTTTTATTCCAACCCACTTATCGAGAGCAAAGAGTGAATCGATATTTAAATAATTCTTTAACTTAATACGCAATGCCATATAAATGGTATTATTTTTACTAAATATCTCTGTCAATTTTGTTATTTGTGTTGTTTATATATGGGGCATTATTTATGAAGTGACCCACTCAAATTTTCAAAGTTTTCCGATTATGCTGAAATTTACACAAATTGTAGTCTTATCAAAAATAAAATTGTTGCCCAAATCTTTTGACCCGCGACCAACGGACTCTCTATTAACAGGCACTTGAATTTTTATCATTTGGGCCCGTCCAACTTCAAAGGTAAGCCGGTAAGTTCCAATAGGCTACTCCGATTTTTAAAAACAAACAATGGTTTCGAAAGATTTTTTTACTCGCTTAGAAGGGAGTACTTTAATCTTATAATATCAGTTTTAAAAAAAAAGTCAAAATTTATTTAAGATTTTTGAAGAACAAAATAAAAATCGTTTTTTCTCAAATTTAGACATCTTCGATTTTCTTTGAAAAGATCTTTAAAAAAGTAGAAATCTTCCCTTTTAAAACGAGCCCAGGATCAAGATGAGCAGACTTTCAGTTTCCAAGATACAATCCGTTTTAGGACCGAGCGCTTCACCCATAGTGCTGCTCGGGCGCTATTACAAGTGCAGATAGATGATCTGGTGAATATTATTGCTTGTAGCCAGGCGTGGTGACCTCTCTCACATACACACACATATATTAAATATATAAAATATTGCTACAGACATATAGAGAGGGAAATATAATTTCATCGATAATTTTATCTCCGATCAATGCAATCTGAAAAATCTAAAATACAAGTTTTATAACTGTAACCAGTTTTCTAGATGTAATTTCTCAATCATTCTACGACACACACATACTAAGTTTTTATATAAATAGATAAATAAAAAAAAAAATAAATTTATACCAAAATAATGCCCGAGAAATTTACATTGTGATTTTCAGTGATTGTCATTGTTTTAGTTATATATCTTGTTTACAAAAATATAATTTATATGCAATATTTTAGTTAACAACATATATGTTGTATGATATAGAAGAAATACATCTCACGTTCCTCATTTTTCTCTCTTTCTCTTTTTTACTCTGATATTTTTGTTGGGGTGATTACGATAACTTTGGCCCCCTATTTGAAAGGTCGTTTCAGAAGACATTTTTGACGAGGAACACGGGAAAAATAGTAAAAAAAATTTCCGACCAATAGTTTTCGAGATATATCACTTTAAAGTATTGGACATGATAATAAAACGTTACAAAACGGACCCAATGACCTTGACCTCGCTTCGCATTGTAAAGTATATGCGTGGACGCAGTGGGTTCCGCCCCCTCTACGGGGGGGCTTCACTTCCGAAAAATATAACCTAACCCAAACCTATTTCTGATTTAAAACTAAAATTTGGTTTGGGTTACGTTATATAACCCAAACCAAATTTTCGTTTCGAATTAAACTTTAACTTTAAATATCTCAAAAATTATAAGAGACCGCCGATTAAGTTATAAGGAAAAGTTACTCAAGATCATGATCTTGATAACATATGTCAAGGTCAACATCGTTGGGTCCGTTTTTATAAAGTTTTATTATCATGTCCAATACTTTAAAGTGATATATCTCGAAAACTATTGGTCGGAAATTTTTTTTACTATTTTTCCCGTGTTCCTCGTCAAAAATGTCTTCAGAAACGA